TGGAAGCACCGGCGGAAATCCATTTAATGATTTGGATGTCATCCGAAATACCATTGGTTCAAATGTAAATATAGAGGCAATATGAATAAGTAAAATAATGATTAGAGCGGGTGATGCGGTGGATGGAATTCAGTTTACATATCTAGTAAAAAATGGAGAGGATTTACGGGAAATTAATGGAACACGATGTGGAGGCACTGGTGGCACAAGACATACCATTGAGTTAAAAAAAGGAGAATATTTAACTAATATAGAGGTGCAATACGGAGAAAATAATTATTATATTGGAGGGTTAAGATTAGATACTTATAATGCTCAAACCGGCAAGCGAGAAACTTATACCTATGGAAGAACAGGGGATAAAAAATCTCAATTATCAGTTAAAAATGAAGTGTACGCAGCATGTCTTTTTGGAAGAAGCGGTAGTTGTGTAGATGCTATTGGTATACAACGATCATTGCAAAATCAACCGCAATTACTTTACCTTGAACAAGATAAAATGGTTGAATTTATTAGTGCTCAGCAATGATTAAATAGCCAAGAAGAATATAATACCAAAGAAAAAAGAGAAAAAATAACCGAATTAGACATTAGTAATCAAAATCTAGCAGGAGAATTAAATCTAAGCGATTTCATTAACTTAGAAAAACTAAATTGTTCTAATAACCGACTAACTTCTTTAAACCTGAGTCGGCAAAAAAAGTTAAAAGAATTAAACCTTAGGCGTAATAATTTCACTAGTTTAGAGTTTATTCAACCTCTAACTGGATTGAAATATCTTGATTTTTGAAATAATAATATCACTAGTGGTTTGGAATACTTACCGCTTAGTTTAAAAGAAATTGAATGCCAAGGAGAAATAAAAAAAGAATTAGCTCTTTATGGAAATAATTTGTTGGTGTGGCAAGAAACTCATCCAGAATTAGTGAAAAAAGTTGGCAAAAAGCCAATTATTAATGCTTATGAAAATGCTTTTTTGGAGACCTTTACTACCGCTCCCGAATATTTAGAAGAAGAATTAAACAAAGTTCAAGAAAACATCACTAATTATAACCTTTCTAATTTAGGCTATGATAACTTTGCTTTGCAAGATTATCGTCCTTTGAGTTGAGAAGTTCAAAATAAGTCTTTAAATTCTCAACAATTACCGCTCCGCCTTTACAATTTAAGAAGTAAAAAAGTAGAAACAACTAACGAAAGAGAAGACATAAATGAATATCTAGCTCTCTCTTATGTCTGAGGAACTGATTGGGAGAAAGATAGCAGAAGTTATGGGCAAGATTATGAAACTGATTTAACAAAATTAGGTCGTAAAGCCTTAAATAAGGTTCTTAAAAGTTTTAAATTAATTAATCGAAACCAAAATAAAGTCAGTTATATCTGAATTGATAACTTTTGTATTAATCAAACTGATAAACGAGAGCAAGGTGAAGAAGTTAAGAAACAAAAGCAATATTATAATAATTCTATTGCCACTTTAATTGCGATTGATGCTGAAATTGGCAAAGTGGATAAGAAAAATCAGTTTGAGTTTGCTAAACATGCCATTAAACAAATAGTCGCTTCTCCTTGATTTAAACGTTCCTGAACTTTTCAAGAAGGATTATTATCTAAGCAAACTATCTTTATGTTTGATGACTACTTAGTGGATGGAAGAGTCTTAGCTCAGTTTTGGGGAGGTATGCAAAAGGACGATTATAGAATTAAATTAAACCAGAGTCCAACCATTTATATTACACCCTTGGGTTGAAGTTATGGAGCTCAGCGAGACCAAGCGGTTAATTTAGGATTAATTCAGGCTTTAGAGGCGGTTAAACATCGTCGGCAAACAGTGCCAATTGATGGCATTTATTCCATTTTAGGTCTATTGCCATATAGTAAGGAGGTGGAGGTTAGTTATTCTAAGTCTTCCGAACAAGCTTTATTAGATATAATGAAAGTAGCTAAATTTAATGGTCATCCTTATGAGCCTTTAGCTTGAATGGGTGAGCGACGAAGAGCAGAATTGTGATGATGAATACCTGATATTGAGGATGGTTCTGTTAATATATGAGGATTTCAAAAAATTGAAGCTAATTCAGAAAGTTTGGAGGTAACTGCCAGAGGGATAAAGTTGATTGGTGAAAAAGATAATTGGGATAGATATACACGTATTATTCCTAATAGCGACCTGATAAAGAGTGATAAAAAATTCAATATTTACATACCTTATTCTTATTTGCCGATTAAGGTAGAGAAAAATGGTGATGATACTAAAAAGGAAAATTCAATATTTATTGATATGGTAAGTGGTCAAGTAGACGAAAGAGAACAGAACATTGTTAAGTATCAGAACCAAATTGAAATTAACCCTTATCAAAAATAGTCTTTTATGGTGGTAAATGCACAGGATTGATTAGATAAGGAATATCCAAAAGGTAGCGGTAAATGCTTAGGGGTATTTGACCATGAAAACAAAGGCAAGGTGAGGGGGGGAATTATTGAACTCGAACTTTCTCAGAAAGAACTTAGTGGTTTCTTAAGTCTAGTTGGATTTACCAGTCTCCAAAAACTTAACTGTTCCCACAATAAAATTACTAATTTCGACTTATCATCTTGTGATCAAATTCTTGAATTTAATTGCTCTTCTCAAATAAATTCGCAATTAGAAGAATTAGACTTGTCCAACTGCCTTGAACTTACTAAACTTAACTGTTCCAAGAATAAACTTATTGAACTGAACCTATCTAACTGCTCTCAACTCATTGAAATTGACTGCTATGATAATGAATTATTTGGTATAAAAATAACTGGTTTACCTCAGCTTAAAATCTTAAATGCTTGAAATAATTGTCTCACGGAACTAGACTGAGAAGCATTTAATCCAAAAAACCTTGTTTCTCTCAGTTTAAGCAATAATAATTTAAAGGAGCAAAGTTTAACTGCCCTTGATAAATTTACTAATTTAGAAGAACTTTATTTGGGTACAGATATAAAAAGTAATATAAAAAAAGGTAATTATAATCACTTCGTTGGTTCACTAGAACCCTTGAAAAATTGTGTTGAATTAAGAAAACTCCAAATTGAGGGTACTGACCTTGAAAAAGGGTTGGAATATCTACCAAACAGCTTAGAAAAAATTGTTTGTTGAGCTTCTTCTAATCATGAGGCGAGTTTTCGAGTAAGTAAGTTAGAGGAGGTTTTAACCGTTTACAAGCAGCAGAAATACTATGACTTTTCTAAATGAAGGATTGACAATTTACAAGGAGAAAGTTTGGTGAAGTATCTGGTAAAAAAAATTGCTAAGTTAGAGGATAGAGTTCAGCAAACGGAAGAGACAGTTAGCGAGTTAAAAAAGCAAATAAAAAATGGAGCAGAAGGAGGAATAGAAATTGAAAGACAAACCGAAGAAAGAAGAACTTATCGTGAAAAAATAAGCATTAATGTAAGTTCTGGCTCGGGACTTCCTACTCGTCAAGCAACTAAAACTTTTGGGAAAATTGGTAAAGGAATGGATAGTGTTGAAGAGGGGTGTAGAGAAGCAATAGGTAAATTTAATCTTTGCAATGTTGCTAAGGTAGTTAAAGAATGCTTATTAAGTAGAGAGAAAAATAATCAAGGTTCTTATCAAACTCAGATTATTGCTTCTCCACTTTCTTCTCCTAAGTTAAAGTAGTTCTATGGCTAAAAAAGCATTCTTAAGTGGAATCGCTACTCATTACCATTTGCTGTCTAGAAGAAGGTTTAAAAAAGTCAAATAAATATTCTAAGCATTATTTTTGTTTTGATTATTATCTTTTTTAAATTTTATGAGTCATTCTGGTGAGTTAATTAATTTAAAAAAAAAGAAGCAAAAAAAAATTTTTCCTAAATCTTTGCTCTACAAGCACTTTTTTGCTCACTATCTCGACCTCTCTCCTCCGGAAACCAGTCAAAAATGAAGTCTATCAAAGCTATCTACCATAATTATCAATGAACTTTCTTTTACCGAGGCGAGGTTTTGTCCGGCAACTTTCAACATCACCTCCTTATTTTACCTCCCCATGAATTCCTTTTTTTCTGAAATGGTTGTCAAGGCTACTTAGGCAAGGTTTGAACCTTAGAAACTACTAAAAAATATGCCTATTTGCGGATAGTTAGTTTATCATTAAAATGTCCCACAGTAGTGAAAAATTGAGAGCGTTGAAAAAATCGACTACCTTATAGGAGAATAGTTGATGGTTCCTAAGAAAAGGAGGATTTTTTTTTTGCTTCTTTTTTTTTAAATGGCATCAATAAAAAAACCGAAGTAAATTATCAAGGAATTAAAGCAACTTTAAGCAGAAACAAGTAGACTATGGAAAAATGCACTACCAAAGAGGTTTCAGTGAAAAAGAATGAAAAGAATTAGAAGCCTTGCCTTTGGGAAATAAGGAAAAGCATGTCAATATCCCAAAAACTTCTAATGAAAATGGAAATATTCGATGTCTTATTAGAAATGGATTTTGGTAAGTTATCTGCGAATGAGAATGAAAGAGCAAATATTTTACTTAAAAGTCATTTTCACGGCGAATTAGCCAAAAAATATTTAAAAGAGTATAAAGAAAAAACTGCTAAGGAATTTTCTAACAACTAAAATTAAATTATAAAAAAACGGCAAATAATTTTTTGTAGAGTAATAAATTATTTTACCGAAAAATTAAGTGGACATGAGAAGATGTTAAAAATATTAAAGAAGTTTATCACTAATTTCTAATAATGTAATATAATAGGGAAGTTTTGGACTTCCCTGATTCTTATTATTATAGTTATTTACTACCTTCGCTACCAGAAAATGTATCTGAATTTGACTTTTTCAGTTTTTTTTTGGTTTATCAATGATTGATTATTATTTTGACTTCCTTCCATATATTTATTACTTGTTAATAATTTGCTTAATAATTTACACACTTTTTAATCTTTCCTATCCAAACTATTCAACAATTTAATTTTACATAAATTATTAAGGTAATTTTATAGTATTTATAGTAATGGTTATTTATCCTTGTCTTATTTTCTTATAATCGTGCTTATTCAAGTCAATTTCCCAGGCTTGATTATCTTCCCAAATAAAGAAAATTCGCCATTGACCGCTACCAGTTCTAATGCTATAATGGTTTTTGATTCCTTGAATTAGTTCCAACCGAAAACCGGAAAACATGTTAAAGTCTCTTTTATCTTGGGACTCCGAAGTTATTCGTAATCTCCGTCGCACCTCGCTAGTATTCTTAATTCCCGAAAATTCTCTAATTCATTCTCCTTTTAAATATTCCTCAACCCCTTTTCGTTTAAATTTCTTTTTCTTGGCTATTTCCAACATCTTTAATGGTTTAATCTGGCTCTTTCTCTATTTTCTTTATAAGGTTTGATTTCTTTTTTTAATAAAGATAATTTTTCTTCTGTAATTTCTTTATCATAGCTTCTTTGGATATTTAGCCAAAATTCCACAGTGCTATCAAAATAAATAGCTAAACGAGTAGCCAAATCCGGAGTAATGTCGCCTCTTTCCTCGCATATTCATTGAATTTGTTCTTTGGGGACTTTTAAGGCAGTAGCTAATTCTTGAGGACTGATATTGCGGGGTATTAGCAGTTCCTCTCGCAAAATCTCTCCTGGGTGAATAGGCAGAAGTTTTTTTGGTTTTAGTTCTTTTTTCATAGAGTATTACTTGGATTTGCTGTCATATTTAAGTTTTACAGTTAGCAGTTTTTATTACTTAAAAGTTTTTTTCATGATCCATGCACGCCTACTCAAAGAGCAATAGCGAAAATAGTCCCTAATGCTAGGGATAAAATTCAGCCAAATCCTCATTTAGAATTAAGATGGAGGGCTGAAAATAATCCAATTGTCATAATAAAAATTGCTTTTAGGTTTCTTTCTTCTCTTTTATTCATATCTTTGAATATTTATATAATTATTTTTTCTCCTTCCTAATAAATAACCAATTCCTAATGCTAAACCTACTAAAACCACTCCTCCGCCAATTAGTAAAGGAATTTTAGGATTATTTGGTTTTTGCTCACTCTTTACTTGACTATTTTGTAAAATAGCTTGTAATTGCTGAGCCTGTTGTCTTTGGGAATTATCGCCACTTTTTATTAAATGCTGAGTATATTCCAATAAATCCATTAAAATCGTGCTTTTATAAGAATTTATTTGAATACTTTTATCTTTCATACCCACCACTAATTTATTAAACTGTTCACTAGTTAGATTTTGGAGGTTCTTGGCTCTTAATGGGTTATTTCCACAGTTAATTTTCTTTAAATTAGGGAATTCTTTTAATAATCAAGCTAAATCTAACTCGCTTATTTGGTTGCCAAAGAAGTTAAGGCTGGTTAATTTTTCTTTATTTGGCAAAGTATTTAGGAATTCAATGCTTTCTAACTGGTTATTGTAAGCATTGAGAGAAGTTAAAGCAGTAAAGTCTTTTAGGTCAGCATTACCAACTAAATCGTTATTGGAAATATCCAAATATCTGATTTTGTTTTTGTTAGTTTTATTGTTTATGTATTGTTGTAATTCTTGGGACATATGATTAATTTTTAATTAAAATGACTTATACTTGCTCTTTTATGTATTTTCGACTATACATGAATGATTTTATATGAATAAAGAGCAAATAACTCCCGAATTAATAAACCTAAAACAAGCAATACAACCTAAATACTTACTGAATACTAGACAAAGCGGAGAAGCCTTGGAACTTTTAAGCGGATTAGAAAACAACAGCACCAACCTTATTTTTTTCGACCCTCAATATGAACCAGTGCGGAATGTTTTGCGGACTGATTATCCGCTTTATTCGCAAAGTGATTATCAAATTTTAAGGATTTTGGAGCAAGTTGAGCGAGTATTAAAACCAAGTTCTTTCTGTCTTTTGTGAGTAAATAAAACTCTGTTGGGAAATGACCGCATTCCCTTATGACTTTTAAAAACTCCTACTTTAAAAATTGTTGATTTCTTGGTCTGACATAAAAAGAATACACTAGGATTAGGGAATTGGCTTCGTTCTAATGCCGAATTCTGCTTCCTAATTCAGAAATATCCCCAAAGTGGTAAAGTATTTAAAAATAGAAGTTTTGGTAATGTTTGAGAGGAGGATGTTGTGCCAACAAGTAAAAGGAAGCATCCCCACCAAAAACCTAGGGAATTAATAAAGGCTTTAATTGAGGCTACCACTAACCAAGGAGATTTAATTGTTGACCCTTGTGCGGATTCTTTCGTGGTTTTGGGAGTTTGCCGGGAGTTAAAAAGGGAATTTCTAGGTTGTGATTTAACTTTTAAAGAACTGATAAAGTTTAAAGAACAAAGAATTTAGTATAATTTTACTTGGTTTTTCTTGCTTTTCTCGTGCGTATATTCTATTGAATCTAATTAGAAAAGTATAGATTAAATTTCCTACACTTAGGAAAAAAAATGTATATAAAAATAAATTAAATAGAAACAATTACATATGAAGTGCCATGAAAAACCAAACATTTATCAAATATCAATGCTTCTTATGCCCATTGGTGGCATAAAGAATTAAAGAGAACAAGCGAACAGCAAAAATAAGTAGTGATTAGTAAATATCACATTTCTCCCTTTAAGCCTACGGCAAAGATGCTAAAAAAATTTTAGCACTTTTCACACTAGGCGACTTTCCCAGAAGTGGTAAAAAGGGTAAAGTAAGGTTCTAATTAGACTATTAGGTTTTACTTAATTGTCTTTGGATTTCTTAACCAGTTCCACTATTAGAACATTAAAGTCAAAGAAAGTATAATAAAAATACTTCTATTTTAAGCAATTAAAAAGAATTGGTTCAGTTAGTTAGAACTGTAAAATCTAACAAAACAGTTCGCCAACTCTGTAAAAAAGTTATCAAATTATACACATTTTTTATAAAAATTAATTAGCAATTAAAATAAATATAGATATGAAAATAACAATAAACAAAATAGTCCTTGAGACTCTAAACAATATTAAATAACATGGCGAGATTCTGATGTATTACTTGTAAAGATGAGGTAGAACACCGAGCTGATTATTGTCATTCGAGGTGTGGAAATGATTGCGATCAAATTTGTGGTAGATGCAATAGAAGAACCCTTACTACAAAAGTGGCTAATCGAGGTGATAATAATACAGCCGCACTCAGATGGGCAGTTGGTGAAGCTCAACGACAGGCGAAATTAACTGGTAAAACTGGAGAAATAGAGGTCGCAGTGCCGAGTTTAGATGCTAGTGGTTTTCATTGTGATCGCACTGCATATTACAACACTCACACTGAGGATGCTGGATTTCGAGCATAGTAAATATAGTAAAATAATACAAAATATTAAATTTTAAGCATATGAAAAATAATAATAATACAAATACATTAAATAATAGAAATGAAATAAAAATAGGTTCCGATGGTCGTTTTATCTATGATAAGCTTCCTGAGAAAGAATATAAACTTATTAAGGTAAATTTTGCTACCGGTGATCAATTTACAAAAATTGCTTTTCTTCGTTCGAAAGATGGCACAGGTACGGTTACTCCTGAACAAGTAAAGAAATTTTATGATGAAGCAGAAGAAGAAGCTTCGGAGTGATGAAGAAGCCACCCTGGCAAGCCGGTTACTATAAGAATGATAGAGGGCGAAGATGGTAAACAGAAGCAGATTATTGAAACTGTTCCTAAGAATGATTTGATTTGCTCTAATGGCTTCCGAACTAGAATATATGACCAAAATGGCAAGCAAATTGTTGGTGAGGAAAATATAAGAAAAGAAGTTGAGAGAAGAAGAACAGAATGAGAGAAATGAAAAAAAGAAGGAAAATTAGAGGTAGTTGATCATCAAATTCATCATACTGATGATGGAAATACTATTTCAGTTCGCACTACCCTTCCTCCTGTTAAAGCACTTCATCCAAATGAAATTAATGATGAAACAAAATGAATTCCGCTTGTTGGACTTGAAGGTAAAAAAATAGAGAGTGGTGGAGGAGATCAACAAAAGAGCAGTCAAGAAAGTCAACAAACTGATGGAAACAAAATAAGTGAAGAAAACAGTAAAAGTAAAGAGGAAAAAAATGATGAAAATATTCAAGAGGAAAATAAAACAGGTGAAAGAAGTGGCAAAGAGGAAAGTATCCGAAAGGAAAATATTGAAAATGCAAGCATAGTTGGGAAGATTAAAAAAAATATAAATGAGTGAAGTGTCAAAAAGTTAAATTTTACTTTAAGTAATGGAATTGAGGGAAGTCAAGATTGTTTGGTTCATAGTTCAGCCAAAGTGGATATCAATGAGGTGGGAAATCTGATTTATCCTGTGGAAATTTTTACTGATAGTGAGAGGAAAGCACTTTCTGAGGTGTTAAATAATTCATTGTTAGTTAATTTTGTATCCTCTGGAAAGTTTGTGCAAGGTAGTTTAAATAAAAATAATTATCGAAGTATTTCATTGTCGAATAGTTCAAAACCTGATAATAATACTCAACAAACTAACAAAGGAAAAAATATTTTGATAGTTTCTGGTGTGGTTTTCGTTTTGCTGGTTGTTAGTTTAGCAATTGTAAAAAGTAGATTTAGCAAGAATAAGAAAAAATAAAAATTATGGCAAAAATGTGATGTATTAACTGTCAAAAAGAAGTGGAACACCGCCCTGTTTATGGTGAAGCAAGTAGTTCTCGTTGTTCTGTATGTGCGATGAGTACTTTGGCTTATATTCAGCCTAGAACTAATGAAACTCATGAGGAAATGATTAAGCAAATGACTGGCGAAGCCCAAAGGATAGCAAAAAGAACCGGTAAAACAGGAGATATAGAAGTATCAAGAACAATCGGCAATGCTGGTGGTGAATATCAGACTTGGGTTCTAGTTTACAATACTTATACTCGCCAATGTCATTTTGACAGGAGTTAAAGGTTGGTTTTATTTATAAGGAAAATTAGGGGAGTTCTTTGCGAATTCCCCTTTTTTTTTAATCAAGTAGTTTAAAAATAATTATGTCAGAAAAGCCAACCGAAACGGAAAAACCAACTATAATTCAGTTAGATGAAAATCAATACAAACATTTTCTAATTGCTTTTGGCAATATTGTTAGGGAATTAAACTCTATTGCTTTTAAAGTAAAAGAGTTAGAAAATGGAATGAAATTAATCGAAGGAGAATTGAGATTGTTAAGAATAGAGATTGCTGATAAAAAAAATTCAAAAAAGTAACATAAAATAATAAAAAATTTTAAATAATATGGTAGACTGAAGAACATATAAAATAACAAGTAAGACTGTAAGTTCAAATAACATTCTTTTTTATTTAGATAACTATGTAAATTATAGTAATGGTAGTAACAATTACAAACATATTTACTGTTCAAATAATAGTCCTTTTTTAATTGACGTGATGGCGATTTTATAGAGATCGATAATGATGTGTCTCGTCACAGAAACAGTGGTCATTATTTTGGTAATATCTGTGAAGTAAGAATTAATTGTCATTATGTATGTGGTCATTCACATAAAGAATATGATGATATGAGAGATAAGTATAATGCATTAGAAAGAGAGCGTAATGATTTGCGTACTGATCGGGATAATTGGAGAAGAAAGCACGATGAACTAAAAGATCAATTGAACAATGAAAAAATAAGAAGTGCTAATGAATTGGCTAATGAAAAATTGAATCGACAAAGTACGGAGTCAACATTAAGAAATGAAAAAAGGTTAGCTGAGGAAAAATTAGAAAATTTTAAAACTGAAAAAGTAGGTTTTTTAAAGCAAATTGAAGATGGAAAGAAAGAACTAGGTTTGATTCGTGTTGAGAAAGACAAAAAAATAGTATCGATAGAAGAAAAATTAACTCAAAAGGATGATGAGTTAAGAAAATTGGAAAAGAAAATGGAGGTTTTGCGAGTGGATAAAGAAAAGGCAATTAGACAAAAGGAGAATTCTTTAAAGGAGACGAGTGGTGAATTGAAAAGAAAAGAACAAGAAATTAAAGTTTTACAAAGTCAAAGATTTAGAACACAAGAAGAATTATTAATTGAAAGGTTAAATTCAGAAAAAAGTAATTTAGAAGTTTTTGCTAGTGAATTAAAGATTGATTTGGAAGCAATTCATAGTTTAACTAAGAATTACCAAAGATTATTATTTTCTCGTAAGGAACGTAATCGGAGTGTTGTTGAAGATAGCGAGGGGAAAATCGCTAAAACTAAACAAAGTTTATTAAGTTCAAACATTAGTATAGAAAATGTTCGAAAAATTAGTCAAGAATGCGAAAAACTTGCTGGGTTAAGTTGAGATTTAGAACAAATTCAACAACAATACGAAGCAAGACAAGAAATTCCTCCAAAATAAAAATATTATGGCAAGGAATTATTATGAAATATTAGGGGTGAGCGAAACCTCTGCTCTAGAAGAAATAAAAAAAACATATCGAAAATTGGCCATGAAGTGGCATCCTGATAAATGAACGAATAAAAGTTCAGAAGAGAAAGAAAAGGCTAATAGAAAAATGAAAAAAATAAATGAAGCTTTTGAGATTTTAGGCGATGAAGAATTAAGGAAAAGGTATGATAATGGAGAAACAATTGCTTCTGATTTTGATGGTTATGATTATGAAACAGAAATTAAAGAAGAGGCTAAAAGAAAAGAGGAAGAATTAAGAAGAAAAGAAGTGGAGGAAGTGGATCTTAAATTGGAAATAAAAGCTTTGGATCGTTCCTCAACTCTTAATGAAATTGGGGCGGTTTTTTGTTTTACTTTACCACGGGTTCATGCGGAAGATTTAGATCCAATCTTGTGGCAATTTTACCAAAGTTGGGGAGAAAAAGTAGTAAAAATGGAAATTACTATTTCCAAAGGCAAGGATAGGAGTGAAGAATTAAAAAATTTCAAAGAGGAAATGGTTAAGGCTATCAAAGAGGCCGAAACTACTCTTAGGGTTAGGGAAGAGAACAAGAAAAGAAGTGAAGAAGATTCTGAGTTAAATCAAGCAAGAAAAGATGCTTTTGGATATATAGAAAAAGAAATGAATGAAAGAGATTTAAAAGTCAAGGATTTAGGACAATATTCTAATTATCAAGAAAGAATTAACAAGTTAGGTGAAGTAGAAAGAATTCGCAACTTTCGAGAGGAGGTTTTGGGATTTATCTCGAAATTGGTCAAAAAAGAGTCCAAAACAAAAAGAGAAGATAATTATCATTTACCGAATAATCCCTATTATCCATCAGGAGGGCAATCTAACTACTTATCCCCTAATAACAATAACCCTAATTTTCTCAGTGATAATCCTAGACCAAGAGAGAATCCTAATTACCCACCTTGATCAAATCCTAATCCGGGATTTTTGGGTAGATCTGAATTTCCGAAAACAGAGCCACGAAGAGTTTTTGATAGGCGAGATGAACCGCGAAATAGAATTGAGGAAGATAGGTTTTTTTTAAGCGGAATTCGGGATAGTAAATATGATAATTGAACTCATCAAGAGTTAGTTGATGAACTTAAACGGGAACAATTAAATAATATTTCTTCGCACAAACTGATTTCTGTCTTAGAAAGTAGAAATAAAGAGTTGGAAGAGGATAATAAGGCACTAAAACTAAAAGTTACTGCACCCCAAACTTCTTGGTTTAGACAAAAATTACCTTTCGTTGGTAAAGAAAAACAATCGAAGGTGGTGGCTTTAAATAGTGCTACTGTTCTAAGTAATAAAAACAATAATTCTTTGCCAATTATTCCTATTATTGGAGTAATTAGTGTGCTAGTAATTCCCAGTGTGGTGGTGTGGTTAAAAAGAGGTCTCGGTTAAACCTAACAAATAATTAGCCAAAAAAGGAAAAAGGGAGTCTAAAAAACTCCCTTTCCTAATAACTATTACCAAAGACAATGAGAGTAATAATTATTAGTGAATAAAACAACAAATTATCAGCCCTTTTAGCCTTCTTTTTTTAAACAAAAATAAATCCCTACTAAACAATACTATTTCCATAAAAACAACAAAAAATCAGAATAAGAAAGTAGGGAAGTTCATATTTTGCTAATACCTAAACTTTTGAATGGTTAAGTTTTTTAGCGACCTTTCTCTTACGCTTTCGTTTCTTTTTATCCCTCCCAACGCTCCTTTGCCAACTATAATGAATAGGAGCAAAATTGCGAACATATTTTATCTGTTTTTGAGAAAGTTCGTCGGAACGACTTCACTTTTCCTCTAATTCACTTCTCTTTTTTCGCCTCTTTGCTAATAATCCCGCTAATAATTTTACCGGTAATTTCAAACCTCTTAAAATAGCTAAGAATATATTCACTAAACAATAATGTTTTCGCTTTGTTCAGTATATAAACTAATCACTTTCCGGTAAGTCTTAAAATTCTGCGCTTTCTCCTCAAACTCTATCTCAACTTCCCTAATATTCTCTCAATTATTCACCAAACTATCCCAACCATCTTTAACCGTTCCCTCAAAACAAAAATAAGCCTCATCTAAATTCTCATTATTGACAATTAAATAATAAGATTTTAAGTTCTTATCTTCTAACTTTTTAATAGCGATGTTTTTTAAATTAGTAGTTGGCATATATGATATTTTATCACCAAATTTCCTTAAATAAGTGTTAACTGCTAACATGGTTAACTGTTATCTTAATTATGAAAATAAACTAAAATATAATATTATGACTGAATTGCTAATAATTAAAACTACCAATGCGGGAAAAATAAAAACACTTTTAGATAAAGGAAAGGTAGATTATCAAATTATTTATGATGAAGTAATAGCGAGCAAGGGTAAAGAAAAATTACGAGAATATATTGAAATGAAAAGCAAGGAAGATATTTTCGCTAATTATGGAGAAGCAATTAAAGATAAAGAGCGAGAAAAAGAAATAGCACTTTGAGAACAAGCTGACGAGTAGGACGAAGTAGAATTAAGCAAAAAGTATGGAGGATAAGAGTAAATTAAGTAATTATCCCAAACCTACCATCGTTTATCCTCGCGAAGTTTACATGTTCCGCATTAGCCGGAAAGAAACGGAAGGAACCGAAGCTATGAAAACCCGTCCGGGAATTGTGATTTCGGTGGAAGGATTAAACAAATGGAATAAACGCTGTATCATGGTGTCGGCTACGACTAAAAAAACCGATTTAGCCAAAATTTATCCTTTTGAAGTAAAAGTAATGGTTGAAGGAAAAAAAGGAAAAGAGGTGTTGTAAAACGAGAGTTGCCAAAGACTGTTTGAAAACGATGTTCAGTTTGCCAAGGAAGATATAAAAACAAACATTTTCGCTGTTTAGTTAAGTGTTCCCAATGCCAGAGAAGAATAAGAGAAAAAAAATTAGTTAAGCATTTGAAGAGATTTCATGAATAGTTCTATTAAGTAATTTCTAAATCATAATTTTACTTTTTTGGAGGAATTTCAATTTGGGCTTGGTATTGGTTAGAACCGATAATGGTTCCTTTAAAGTTATCTGCTCATGTAGCAAACTTCACCCCCTCACTATTCGCTAATTCTACTAAACCTAAGCGATGGTAAGTATTAGTTTGGTTAGTTTCTTTTACCAAGAGAGCAAATAGTTTATTAGTTCCAAAAAGTTCTTTATGAAGAACTACTAGCAGATTACCCTCTTGGACTAAATCCAAAGTTTCCTTAGTTCCTAACAAACTTAAATTTATTACTTCTTCCATCTCTCTCGGTTTCACCACCACCTCTTTTCTAAACAATCCACCTTCAATTTCAAAACCACTTTCTAGCTTGTGAGTATTTTGGTTAGTTTGGTGGATGGTGTAATGGGGCATTAGAGCATCGAATTCAAGTCCTTGGTCGGTGAAAGATATTAATTCATAAGTTTTACCATTAACATCTTTAAGTATAGAACCAACTTTTCCCACACTCCCCATTACACTAGCAGAACCCTCTTTATCTATCTGTGGTAAACAACATAATCCCTCACCATTATTACTCTCCCCATGCCAACTTAAAGGTTCGGCATAACCATTAGCAATAGCTACTTTCATCACCTCTACTAATGCCTTTTCTGAAGTATTATTTGTTGAATAATCAACCGTAACATCTTTCCCATATGGCAACAATCCTAAAATGGAATAAATCCCATCCAACGGTTCAGTTCTTTTTCGATTTTTAATCGCATATAATGCTTGGGTGAGAGTTAGTTCTACTTTATCAGTAGTTGCATCATAACCATCTCTGTAGTAAGTTCATCCCACTGGAGTAGCAATTTTTTTAGTTCCCTGATTAAACTCATACCAACTTAAATACTTACCACCTTCGATATAAGATGGTTGATGCAACACTCAATTCCCCGCCATCGCATAACCATCAATTAGTTTATCATCAAACATAAAGATAGTATGTTTAGAAAGTCATCCCTCTTGAAAACATCAAGACCTTTGAAATCATTCTGAATTTACTACTTTAGTTAACACTTCCATTACCTCATTAGTTTCACCAACTTCACTGTCCATAGCGATTAAAGTTAATGCTGAATTATCATAATACTTCCCCATTTTTGACACCTCTTCACTCTTCTCGTGCTGATCTTCTTGGTTCATGCAGAGTTGATCGACTCAGAGGTAATTAATAGGATTAGGAAGTTCTTGATTAATAACCGCTAAAGCGCTAATGCCTTTACTGATTGCCTGACTAGCTGAATTAGTAATTGGTAATCCAGCTTTACTAGTTTGTTTTTCATGACTAGTTCCTCAGACATAAGAAAGGATAGCATAAGGAGAGTTGGTATTCTCCTCTTTGGTTATGATTACTTGATCATCTCCAAATTGGTAGAGTTTAGTGGGTGATTCTTGAGGCAATAAAGGATTGGTTATTTTTCAGTGGTTGAAGTATATTTGCTCATAACTTGGTGCTGAGGTGTTATAATTTTCTTCTGTCCTCAACTCTCGTTCTTGTTCAGTCTCACTTTCTTTATTTCACAAATTATTTCAGTTCCGCAATATTATTTTGCCTAACAAACATAATTCTTTGTTTTTAGGTTCAGGGAATTGGGTGGATTTATCTTCTAGTTTGTTAGTTAGTTTAGTTAATTGCAAAGGCACTAAAGGTGCGGTTAGTAAACAAGGTTTTTTATCTAATTTTACTGCTCTTCATTTATTTAGATCATTCCCAAACGTTTGGAGTTCTTCGTAAATGTCGGATACTTTGGCATTAGGTCTATTAGGTGTGCAATCAATTTCTTTCACACTCTCTGGTAAATATTCTAAACCGTGAGTGATATCGGTGCCACCAATGTTAAGTATTTCCAACTTTTTCAGTTCTTGTAAAGGTTTTAAGGAACCAGTAAAATAACTTGGTTTATCTATTCCATCTATTCGTAACACTTTTAACTCTCTAAAAGGAACAAAGAATTCTAAATCTTGGGGAGGAAAATTGTTATCATTTAAAACAAGTGATTCTAACTTTGGCAGATGGCAACTCTTTAAGAAATCTAAACTAGTTAGTTCATTTTCATAGCAAATTAATTTTTGTAAATTATCTGACTGATTAGGTAAGGTTAATTGGGTTAGTTTGTTTTTAGCACAAACAATTTCAATGAGTAATTTATTTTGACTTAAATTTAGTTCAGTCAATTGATTATTCCCACACCTAAACATTTCCAAATTCGCACACTCACTAATCTCTAATTGCTGACTATCAACAAAATTATTAATATTCACTTCTTTTAATTTTGGACAATTGCGAATGGTAACTTTGGTGATGTTTTTAATGCCTTTTTCAACTCAAGTTATAATCTTTTCCAAATTAGGATAATTAGCGATGATTAGTTCTCCTAGGTTTAGTTCTAGTTCATCACTATCAAAAACTATTTCAGTAGTGTTTTCTTTATTAGGGTAGTTATTTTCTAGTCATTCTTGGGGATTAGTTTTTCTTACATATCCATCACCACTAACAAAAAACTTATCTGAATTTTTTAATTCCATTTCAATAATTTCTACTTTACTTTCCGGTCTTTCTTCACTAGAACAATAAATTTCATTTACACTTTCTAGTAAGTATTCTAAACCACTATCGATGTTAGTATTAGAAACATGCAAACTTTTTAGTTTACCTAAACCATCTAAAGGTTCTAGAGAACCATAAAACTTATTATAAATATTTTGTTGAAAATGTTCTTTATTACTATTACCAATTCATAAAATTTCTAAATTACTAAACTTACTAAAAACTGATAAATCTTGTTCCAGAAGATTATTATCAGTGATGTTTAAATAAGTTAATTTATCAAGATTTAAAGAGGAATAATCAAAACTTTTTAGATAATTATCACAGCATTCAATTCTTTCTAAGTGATTTAAATTAGTTAAGTCTAAATTAGTAAGTTTATTAAAACCACAACTGATATTTTTTAATTGTCGACAATTGTTAAGGTTTAAATTGGTAATTGCATTATGAGAGCAATCGAGAGTTTCTAAATTAATAAAGTCAGACAAGTCTAAATCTCCCTCTAGTTTATTTCAATCTTTTTTTTCTTTCCCGATTTTTCAGTCGACACCACTGATATCTAATTCCTTTACTTTTTCTCTCTTTTCTTTAGCATTATATTCTTCTTGATTTTCCAATCATTCTTGAGCATTAGGCATATGACAATTTTACTAAATTCTGATAAGGCAACATGTTATAAGTTAATTATTTCCAACTTCCTCTCATCACTTAATTTCTCTCCCAACACTTCCTCTATAAGATTTATTATTTCTCTTTCTCCTTGGCTAAGGATATTTCTTCTTCTCTCTTCTTCCTCTTTTCTAGCTTGAATTTCTCATTCTCTTTGTTCTTGTGCTTCTTGTTCTAATCTAGTCTGCTCTCTCTCTCTCTCTCTCTCTCTCTCTCTCTCTCTCTCTTGTCAACAATATATTTAACCATGACAAGAAAAGACTATTATCAAATACTAGAAATAAACAAAAATGCTACTGAGGAAGAAATAAAAAAGACTTATCGCAGATTAGCCTTAAAATTTCACCCAGATAAAAATCCAAATGGGGAGGAGAAATTTAAAGAAATTTCCGAAGCCTATGCGGTTTTATCAGACTCAGAAAGAAGAAAAAATTATGATGCTGGCGGAGATGGTTCTAGTTTTGATAACGAGTGATACGAAAGATGAAAAGAAAGTTATAAAGCTGAGTGAGAAGCAATAAGAGAACAGGAAATACAACTTACTAAAGCAAAATTTGCTTATAATGGAATATGTCCTGGGGTAGGATATCAGTTTGAAAATCCACCTTTAGATCCTAATTTATGAAAACCTTACTCCAATTGGATAGAAAAAATGAGGAAGTGTAAAGAAGAGGAGGTAAGTGATTTTGTAGAAGAATTATGAAAAAGCGCTGAAGAATTTAGTAAGAAAAGAAATGAGGAGTGGCAAAGAAAATACGAAGACATTAAAAAAAATAATCCATTCCAAAACTCAAACAATAAAGAAGATAGGAATTTTGATTGAACAAAAAATTATAAAGAAAGTGATACTTATATTGATAAAGGCAAAATTGGTGATGAAATACTTGGTGAACTCAAATCTTTAGGAGTATCAAGTTTGGACTTAGACTCTTCCTTGTGATCTCCTTATAGATTATGAACCGAAAAGTTAGTTAATTTAACAAAAGTTAGCGAGATGGAAGTTTTCAAAAATCAAATGTTTAGTGCTATTCGTGAGGCAAAAGATAAAAAACAACAGAAAGATAACGATGATAATGGAAAAAAAACAAATAAACCTCAACCAAATGTCCAACCAGTCGATTACTCCACTTGAACCAAAGAACAATTAATTACTAAGGTTAAAGAACTAGAAGAAACTATTAAACAATTAGAGAACTCTCCCGGCAAAGATAAAGTGGTCAGTGAGAAAAAGGAAGAATTGAAAATAGTTCAAAATAGATTAAGTGAAGTTAACCAATCAAAACAAGAACCAACTAAGGAACCAGTCAGTGGAACTGATTACAAAGTGATATTTGGAATAGATATTGTGCTAATAGTAGCAGTAATAATAGGAGGTTGGTTTTGAAGTCGAAAAAGATATGGAAAATAAAGAATTAACAGTAAAATCATAAATATGGTCAATGCCCAAGAATGGTTAGATAAGAAGTATCTGAAAGAGGGATGTATTCAATATGGTGAAAAAGTAAATAGAAGTGAAGTAAAAGAAATTCATCTCACCGAACCTAGTTTAGAGGGAGAATTAGATTTAGGGGATTTTACTTATGGATATGGTGTAAAAGTATATATTTATCCCCAAGTAGATGAAACTAAACTAACTTTTGAAAACTTATCTACCGAAGCTAGAATTATTAAATGTGTGGATGTTCAAGAATGGTTAGAAGAGAATTATCCTGAAAATGGAACTTGTATAAGGAAAGATGAAAGAGGCTGAGGAGATAAAATTAATAACTTTGGTAAAAGAAGAACTGAAATTAAGAAGTTGTGTATTAGTCATAAAAAATTGACTGGCAACTTCGATTTAAAAGGATTTGCTAATTTAACTGAACTTAATTGTTGAGGTAATAGTCTAACCAATCTTAACTTCTTAAATACTTTACCTAATCCCGAAAAATTAACTAAATTAGATTTAAATTATAACTATTCTCTCTCCACTTCCTTATCCCCTTTGCAATCTTGTCCCCAGTTAGAAACACTTAATATTAAAGGAACTAATCTCACCCCTAACTTCCAATACTTACCCCTTAGTTTGGAAGAAATTAAATGTGATGGTAAAATTCAAGAAGAATTAAATCTGTATGGTAGTAACCTAAGGGTATGACAAGTTGGTCATCCAGAATTAATGGAACAAGCAAACAAAGAATTAGTAATTGATAATAATGATTACACCAAAAGTAAACTAGAAACATCACTACTACTCCTAAATATTTAACCGAAAAACTAAGCCAAGAAACTACTCCAAAAGATAATTACCAACTATCTAACTACTCCCAATTCTCTCTCCGTGATGTTCGACCATTTAGTTGAGAAAAACAAAACCTAGAAGTAGCAACTAGTTTACCACTCAGACTTTACAATCTAAAAACTGAACAAGTAGAAACTACTGACAAGGGAAAAGATATCTCCAATTATCTATCACTCTCTTATGTCTGAGGAACTGACTGAGAAAAACAACCTCAAACTTATGGACAATCTTATCCCACCGATTTAACTAAATTAGGTCGTAAAGCTTTAAACAAAGTTCTATCAGTTAATAAGTTAATTCCTATCAACCATATCTGAATTGACAACTTCTGTATCAATCAAACTAATCCCCAAGAAAAAGATCATGAAGTCTCCAAACAACAACAATACTACAACAATTCCAGTGCTACTCTAATTGCTATCGATGGCAATATTGGTAAAGAAACGGATAAAGAAAGTGAAGTAGAGTTTGCTAAACACATTACCGAACAAATAGTTACTTCACCTTGATTCCAACGTTCTTGAACTTTCCAAGAAGGATTATTAAGTAAGCAAACTATCTTTATGTTTGATGATGGAATGGTAGATGGTAGAATATTAGTTAGTTTTTGAGGAGGGATACAAAGTTTTAAAACTGCTTCCATTAACCTAACAAATACCATCTCCATCTTTATCACTCCCCTCGGTTGAAGTTATGGAGCTAACCAAGAACAAACAGTTCAATTAGGACTAAGTCAAGCCCTCTCGGCTATCTCCCATCGAAAGCAAACTGTCCCAATTGATGGACTTTATTCCATCTTAGGTTTATTACCTTATGGTGATAAAGTAGAAACTAATTACCAAGCCAAGGATTTAAATGAGGAACTAAAAAAAATAATGGAGTTAGCAATTAAAGAAAATGAATACGAACCTATTTCTTGAAAAGGCACTCGTCATGTTGACCCATCATGATGAATGACACCACCCCTAAACAAGGATGGTTTCACCAATATTACTGGTTTTATGGAACTTGAAGAGGAATGAAAGGATAAAATAAAAATCTCACCCACTGGTTGGGAGTTTGAGGGTGTCAAGTATTTAGTAGGAGAAGGTAATGAAACAGAAGGAAGAAAAGTTGGTGATATTAGAATCACTCCTAACCTTAACCAATTTAAAAACAATAATAAATTAGAAATTATCATCCCCATGACTGACAAAGATACTCGACCAATTGTTTTTGAGAGTGCATATATTGATTATTGACAAGTTTGCACTAGTGTGAAAGATACTAGTCGTTCCTATGATATTTATGCTTCTGTTCATGACAATAAATATGGAGTTTACCTCAATAGACCTTGAAAGGATGGAGAGGGTTTCGCAACAGTCACATATACAAAAATTCATCCTGGTTATCAAGAAAAAATAATACAATCCCAATCGGCTCGTTGTCTTGCCAAGCAAGCTATTAAAGATATTACAGTATGCGAAATTAATGTCAGGTTATTATTTTCCTAACCTCCTTGTTTTTCAAGAGTTTTGAGTTTAAATTACTGACATTTAATTCTAATAATATAATATTAGGAATAATTAGCCAATTTGAAGTTAAAAATTTGAAAGGGGAAGGAGTAAGTAAAGTGCTTAAAAATTTAGACAGTAAAATTAGAGAATTTTTAAAAACCTATGACAATGATGAAAATGGAGAAGTAGAAGTTGGAGAACTAGTAGAAAAAAGGAAAATACTTACTGATGATTTTAATAAAGGTAAAGAAAGCGGTAAAGTATGGAAAGTTGTAGAAATCATAAAAGAATTAGAAAATGCTATAACCGAATATCGTAAGTCTTCTTATAATTGGATAAACGAGATAGAAAGCAGTATCAATAATCAATTTGAAGGAAACCAAACTGAGATACAAATAAATATAGAAGATTCTGATCAAGCAACCGAAGTTGAAAATACAGCGGAAAGTATTGCTAATAATAGTAGTCGCTCTTTACTTTTAGTCAAGGAGCCTGACAAAGGCAAAAAGTCTTTTTTTGATACTAGAGGTTATTTAACTAATCGGCAGAAAAAACACTCTAAAAATCAAAAAATACTTAAACAAGAATCTCATGAATTACAAGGAATTTTAAATCAAGAACAACTAAAAGCCCAAGTCAAAGCTCTTCCTTATGGAACACCTAGTTCAAGTAAGAAATAATTTTCCTCCATTACAATGAACTCTCTAAAACTTGATATTCAACCCCTTCTCACCACTAAAAAAATCTTAGAAAAGACTTTAAAAGAAGGAACTAGTAGCGAATTAGAAGAAATGGGTGGGGCGCAAGCCTTTGAAATGGCTTATGAACTGAGTTGAAAAACTTTGAAAAAAGTGCTGATGAGTAAAGGAGTAGAAGTATATAGTCCTAAGGAAACCTTTCGCAAAACCGCCGCCGAAGGTTTAATTCAAGAGTTTGAAACGTGAGGAGAAAAGTATTTAGAGACTAGAAGTTTAACCATTCATAGTTATGATTCTGATATCTTGGCCGAGGTTTGGAAAGTGTTGTCGGAATTTTTGAAGGATTCGGAATACTTAATTGCTAAAATTCAAGTAGAGATAAGGAAATAATTATGAGTTTACAGTTAGAAGAAAAACATTGGAACATTATTCAACAAATCCTCTCTAAATATCCTTATCATTTTTATGCTTATGGTTCGCGAGCAAAAGGAACTGCCAAAAAGTTTTCTGAATTAGACTTATGTTATAAGGAAGAGATTCCTCTTTCGGTAATTAGTCGCCTGAGGGAGGAATTTACAGCAAGCAATTTACCTTTTGAAGTAGAATTAGTGAAAAAATACTTGAATTGGTTATTGTTTGTTTTAATTTTATTGATTCGATACATGTTTTAGTCTGTTCCTGCAGTGTTTTTTTCTTCCTTTCCCTTAACTAATTTCTCTTCAATGGCTTCCTGAATAAATTTACTTACTTTTCTTTCTTTAATTAAAGGTTCTAATTTCTGGTAAGTTTCTTCCGAGAGATAAATATTTAAATTCCGTCCTGACATATTTATATTTTTAGGTAATACTGTAGTTGAGTTGAAAAGTAGAGACCTAAGTAAGTATCTTTCTATTTTCCTAATTATGTCTCTACGTTAGTAAAAATTAGTTGTTTTTTTTATTCCTCTCATAATGGTTAATTAGGACAGGATTAAATTTTAAATATAGTTTATTACATAAACTATTGCGATTTTTAACTATTTTTTGAGGTTAACGTTTACCCTTACATAACGGGTAGCATAACGAAAATAGATTATATGGCAAAGAAAGAAAAAGAGTTTTATTTTAGCAAATGGGGGTATACTAAAAAAGATTTTCAAAAGTGAGGACAAAAAGGTGGTTTGGCTTTTAAATATTCTTCTAATGCGGAAAGACAGAAAGCTTATCGGCGGAGGAAAATGCAGGCAAAAATAGAGGCAGGATTAGTGAGTGGAATTTTGAACCTAGAAACCGGAAGAATTAGAAAGTATCGGAATGGAGCTAGTCGGCAGAGGGGGTGGAGGGAGAAGAAAGTAAAACCAAATCCTCTTTAATCATTTCCTGGAACTCTGTTCGCATCTGTTTTCAATTAACAAGTTCGACAAAAAAAGGTAAATCGCTCTCTTCTAATTCCTCCTGAATTTGGTAAATAATTTCACGAGGAATATTTTCTTGATAACAAATATCTAAATCGGAAAATTTTCAGGCAGTTCCTTTTGCTCGCGAACCATAAGCATAAAAATGATAAGGATATTTAGAGAGGATTTGTTTAAGAATATACAAGTGCCTATTTTCTATTTTCAAACTCATAAGTCCTATTAAAAATTTTTTTCTTGCAATTTGGTAATAAGTTTTTCAAATTCTTGTAGGAAATTAGGTAATAGGTTGTAAATAGCAGTTAAAATGTCTTCCTGATAAGTATGAGAAGTTAAATTTCTTTCCTTACCAAAATTAAACCAGACTTCGGGGTCTTCTAAATAGCCTCATTGAGCGGCTAAACGAAAAGTTTCTCGGGGATTACGGACTTGGGCTCCTTGCTGATTTAACACTTTTTGTAAAGTGTGTCAAGCCAATTCATAACTAACTTCAAAGGCTTGCACAGCAGCCATTTCATCTAATTCATCTTCCACATTTTGTAAAGCCTTTTTGAGCAAATCCTTCATGCGTAAGAGCGGACGGAGGTCAATTATTTCTTTTTTATCCATAGATACACCGTTGATTTAACTTTAATTTGAGAATTTTTAACTAGTTATTTAGGAGGGATTTGGATTTGAGTTATTAATGCTTGAATATCATTATCAGTCAATTGTTGCTCTTGGGTTGCTCGTTGAATACCAATTGCATCTAAAGAATAACCTCTTCTTCCAAAAAAAATTGTAGCATATTTATCGTTATCCACTGGTAAATTAAACTTTTCGCCATTTACTTTTCCATAAGGACCATAAATATTAATCCGACCAGTTTGGAAATTAGAGGTTTGGAATGATAACCCAGTAACTAAACCATCAGTCCATCCCTCGACATTAACTAAATATTCTCCTACTGCTAAACTAATAGATGTCGATTCTTTGTTTGCTCATTTTTCGCCATGCTCTCTTACCACTTCACACCATTTACCTTTAGACTTGACTTGATAAGTAAATTGAATACTATCTATTACATTACTAAAACGAATCACTATTTTACTTATTCATATTACATCTATTTTTTTTCAGTCAATAGCTTCTCAAATAGTAACTAAATCGTTAAATGATCCTCCACCAAAACCTCCATACATTCTTGATTTATTAGGTCATCCATATTCAGTAATTAATTGCTTTCTTAGTTTTTGCTTGGAGGTACACTCCTCAGCAGTTAATTTCTTACTATCTCTTAATCAAAGATAAAAATCAATCTCTTGAGGATTAAAATAATCTTTAAAAGCAATATCTAAATTGTTAACCTGCTCATAAGAAAAATTATTATCTTTTCATTTCTGAACTAATTCCTGATTAAAATTTTGCTGAATCTTTTTTCATTTATTTCATTCTAAAAGACTATCCAACTCTTGTTTTTTTTGTTCATATTCATTTTTTTCTAGCAAAGGGTCTAATTCTGCTAATTTCTCGGTTAGTTTATGATAACGAGTAATATTTTTGATTCCAAAGATTATTTCTCTTTTGTTCTTCATATCAATAAATAATTCTTGGGGGACTAATCTTTCGCCACTCTCTAATTTAAATTCTACTATATCTATCGGACAATCATCAGCACTGGGTATTAGGATAGCTAGTTGATAATCCCTTTCTTGTTCTTCGCTAATTACTACCAAACTATCACTGACTTTTATTTGTTCTATGGTTTCAGAAATTCCTTTCAAACTAAGTTCATTTTGCTTGGTTGTCACTAAAATTATGTTATCTCTATATTCCGGAACTTTCTCTACGACATATCTCTTTCCTACTAAACGAACTCCTTGAGGAGTTAATTTTATATTTTTGGATTGGTAGTTAGTTAAACCTTCCACATTAGTAGAACCATTTTCCCAAACTTGAGGTATATATCAGTAATGAGGATTATTATTCCGTGAACCAAATCAAGAGAAGATTTCTTGTTGGTAACCTTCGTTGGTAACTACCTTCATTACTGACAACAAAGCTTGTTCCAACTCTTCTTTAAAATATGTAGGAAATTCTGTTTTTTGCTCCTCATCATGTTCGCAAATTACACTTTTTTTTTGCTTATTTTCTAATTTTTTGCAGTTTTTGCATATATTTCCTTTATATTCAGGAACTACTTTGTCCCCATAAGGTAATAAACCCAAAATGGAGTAGATACCATCGACTGGTATCGTTTGCTCACGATGTTTAACAGCTAAGAGAACTTGACCGAGGGTAAAATTGGCTGTTTGTTCTCTTTGGATATTATAACTTCAACCCAAGGGAGTAATGAAAATTTGGGGGTTGGTGTTTAAACTTGATGAATAACTTTGTTGAAGACCACCCCAAGCCATAGCTAAAATTCGCCCATCAACTAAACTATCGTCAAACATAAAAATAGTTTGGTGAGACAATAAACCTTCTTGAAAAGTTCAAGAACGACGAAATCAATCTGAGGCAACTATCTGTTTAATGATATGTACAGCAAACTTATAATCAGTTTCTTTTCGCTCTCCAATCCTTCCATTAATAGAAATTAAAGTCGCTGTAGCATCGTTGTAATACTTCTTTTGATTCCTAACTTCTTGACTTTTTTCTACTGGGTCAGTTTGATTAATACAAAATTGATCAATTCAGATATGATTAAGATTAGCTCCTTGCCTTTTATTAAGGAATTCCAAAGCATTAGTAGCTTTATTTACTGCTTTACTACCTAATTTAGTTAATTTTATTTCGTAATTCTGACCTTTAGCACCCTTAGAAATTTCTTCACTCCCTTCTCTATCACCCCAAACATAAGAAAGAATAGCATAGTTTCTAATATCAGTTCCATCTTGGATTTCTTCTACTTGCTTAGTTTTTAAGTTGTAAAGACGCAAGGGCAACTTTTTAATATCTGCAAGTTTAGTTTCTGAATTTCCCTCCTTTTCTCAACTAAACTTTCGACCATCATGCAAGGCAAATTGAGAGTAATCTAGCCCAATCAATTTATGCTTTGCTGAAGCAGACTTTTGTTTTAGTTCTTCGCTTAATCATTGCGGAGTAGTAGTAACTACCTCAGGTTTAAGTTTTTGGTAATAATCAGATATCTTTTCTTTGCCTGCCTCCTCCATTAACTTTGGGTGAGTTTCCTGTCAAAAAACTAAATTGTTATTATAGAGAACTAATTCATTTTTTAGTTTTCCCTCACATTCAATTTCTTTTAAACTTTGAGGCAAATATTCTAAACCAGTAGTGATTTTAGTTTGAGAAATATTAAGTTTTTCTAATGCAGTTAGTGTTTTAGTAAATTCTAAACTGGTGAAGTTATTTCCAGTTAAATCTAGTCCTTTTAAACTAACCAAATGACTTAGTCAAGTAGGATTTTCGGCAAGGAAGTTATTTTTATTAATATATAATTTCTCTAACTTAACTTGCTGATTAAGATTTAGTTGGGTGATTTGATTATCTGAACAATTTAAGTATTCTAACTCTCCTAAATTAGTTAAGTCTAAATTAGTTAATTTATTACCATTACAATAAAGTTTTTTTAATTGTTGACAGTTACTAATATCTAGGTTATTTAATTGATTATCTCGACAATCTAATTCAGTTAGATTTAGACACTCATTTACTCCCACTAGTTTAGATAACTTATTATTTCCACATTCAAGCACTTCTAAATTGGGGCAATTAATAATGATTAATTCTTGATTATCAGTGAAGTTTGGAATAACTAATTCTTTTAATTGCGGACAATTCTGAATGGTTACTTTGGTGATGTTTTTAACGACTTTTTTTCCTGTTGTTATAATCTTCTCCAAATTCGGATAATCAGCAATAATTAATTCTCCTTTTTTATCTAATTCTAATTCATCACTATCAAATTCTACCTCAGTAGCACTCCCTTTGTCAGAATAATGTCAAAATGATTTTGATTTGAGGGTTTTTTTTAGTGATTTAAGGGTGAAATCCTTGTGGATTTTGATTCAATCTGTTCAATCTTTTACAATAACTTTTCTTAATAATCGTTTTTCACCTTTTGATCTCCTTTCAAGTAACTCAATTTTCCCTCCTTCAGCATGATTTGCTCATCCAGGAAATTCACTCCTTAACCATATTGCCACCTTGTCTCCTTTTTTTATATTACTAAGAAATGCACTACTAAGAGAATCATTTTTAGTTATTATTTTTTTGTGTGTTTGGCATTCTGATTTAGCAGCATCATTTCTACATACTTCTATCCGAGCTCCTCTCTCTTTACCTTCTGAATCTAATATGCCTATTTCTGCTCATGTTCAAGAAGCACTCGAGTCACCTCATCCTTGATCATGAGATTTAACCGACACCTTTATTTCATCAACTTGTTCACAATCAACAGAAATAGAAAGATAAAGATGATTCATATTATCATATCCTCTTACTTTTTTATTAGTTTTAGTTGTTATTAATCCTTTTACCATATTATTTTAATGTTTAAAAATTATTATTATTAAAATTGTTTTATAGTATTTGAAAACTCTAACTCCCTAATTATAACAAGGATTTAGACAAATAATAAACTATAAACAATTTCTAACTTTGTTATATAAAACTAATTTCCATTTTTTTAGAAATAATATTTGTTCTATAACTAATTTTATGCATTTTTTTCTAAACTAAGGTGCTATTTTTTTAGATATAATTTTACCTCTTATAAAGTCATTAAACTAAAAAGGCAATGATATAGTAAATAACATTAATTAGAAATCACTCCTCTCAAATTACTCCTCTCTTTTTTTCCTCAATTACTCTTTTAAACCTTTAAGCCTCAAGGAACATCAAAACAAGCTTTAAAATACTGAAATAATCTTAGCCATTAAGCAGGGAATAGATCCTAATTTATTTAGAAAGCAAACTAGTAATTTAGTGCTGGTGGAGGCAATTCAATTGTTGAGGAGGTGGTTAGGGATTAGAGAGTTATTTAGGCAGAACTTCTACTTGCACTTCTTGCTGACCATTCAAATACTCCGCCACCTCCTCTAAACTAGTAAATACTTTCGCGCCATTCTCTTTTACCATGCGAGCAATGGCTTGTAAAGACTTTATCTGATGTTTTTCAAATCCTTCTTCTAAATAACAAAAAATAGTTTTGGTAGGTCTTTTATTACTATCATCTACTACTTCGGCAATGGCGTAGAAGCCTAACATCTCTTGGGTGATGGTGTAAAGAACATAATCACAAGTTTGTCTTTGGCGGATTTCTTCTTGCTGAACTTGTTCATTTCAGTCGGCTACTACTGGGTTGAAGTAGGAGATTTTAGTAAGGTCTAATTGAGGGATTAATGCTTCCCGTCAGGTGGAATTATTTACGGTGCCACCTAAGAATACTTTTTTAGTCATAAGGTTATTTAATTACATTATTAACTTCAATATTAGCCTGAAATTCCTCTTCAACTTTTTCTTGCTCAACTAAGTAATTTTTAACTCTTTGGTAAAGGGTGCAAAAAGTTCACATATTTTCAGATTTTACATTCAAAGAAGTTTGATTATCATTTTGCTTATCAGCAGAAATATCAACTTCGATTTGCGGTTGAGTTTCTAATTCTTTTTTTGTCGAACCTTGGCGATAATTAATGACTTCTTTTTCCAAGTTTTTCATCATTTTTGCGACTTCTTCCAGTTTAATTAGTTCATTAACAAATTTTTCTCGTTCATTAGTCAATTCATCAATATCTATTTCTTCGTTTCCATCCTTATCATATTCTTTTAAGAAAATATCAACTTCATTTTTTAAATTTTTTAGAGCTATATTTACTATCCCGGTCTCACCTATTTGAACTTGTTTTAATATCCCTAATAATTCATTATAATTATCTAAAAAAGTATCTGCATCAACTAAAAATTCACTTCATTTCACTTTTTTAGCATCATAATAATCGGCTTTTAATTGCGAAGCACCACTACCAATTAAAGGAGCCACCAAAGTAATGACTCCACCGGTAGTTGAATAATCCAGTAAAGTTAATGCACCTCCGGCAACCGTAATAGAAGTAGAAGCTCATTCTACACTACTGAAATAGTTAAATTTATTAAATTGTTCGGGAGATTTTAATTTACTTAGTTCAGTTTTACCATCTTTATCTTCACTACCTCATTTTTTGAGAAACTGCTTGATATTGCTTCTAATCACAAATAACCTTTCCAAAGGAATAACGGAGGCAATTTTACTATTTTGCCGATCTTCTTTTTGTTTTTCTTCTAAGTGCTTTCAATGGTTTTGTAAACCTTGAATTTTTTCTTCTAACCTGACATTTTTTGCTTGGGCACTAGTAGCAATATCACTACCCAACTTTTCCATTTCTCCCTCTTGTTCAGCAGTCAAATCAAGTCCTAATTCCTTTTTAGCATAATTAATTAGAATGTCGTTAAGGATTACTGAAAAATTATCTCGGTTAGTTCTTCGTAATTTTTCAGCTTCTTCTTTACCTAATTTTAGTTTTCTAATTATAGTTTCTTTGCCTCAACTGATAATTTTTAAATTATCTAATAAATGTATATCAGTTCCTTCAACTTGCAACTCTTTTAGTTTAGGGAAGTTTTTTAAAGGTTTTAAAAAGCCATGAAAACGATTAATAATTCCTTTTTCTATTCTTTCTTCAATGTCATTACCCAAATAAAGATTTTCTAAATTAGTGAATTTGCTGAATGCCGATAAATCCTGCCGAGAGAAATTATTGTTACTGATGCTGATATAGGTTAGAGCCTTAGAAAAAGCATCTCAATTTAATTCCGTTAAATAGTTAGTTCAGGCATAGAGTATTTTTAATTGCGGTAGAGTAGCAGGGAGTTTGATTTCAGTTAGTTGATTATCTCAACATTTAAGTTCGGTTAATTTAGGACAGTTGGTGAGATTTAAGGAAGTTATTTCATTAAAAGAGCAATCGAGTTTTTCGAGATTAGGGAAGTTGGAGAGGTCTAAGGAACCAGTTAGTTTTTTTCAATTGGGTTTTTCTTTTCAGTCTTTTTCAATTCAACCGCTAAGATTTAGTTCAGTTAGGTTTTGATTTTCTTCCTTAGTTAGAAATTTTTGATTTATATATTTTTGGGCATTTACCATATTTTATTTCTTCATTTTGTGCGATTTGAGGTTAGTTCATCTGAATAACAAACTAATATTCTAGGGAGATATTTAGTCTATAATTAAATTTATGAGTTTTGGATTAGTCAAGTAAGTTTTTTTTGGTTTTATTTAATATTTAAAAAACTCTCGTATTTCTACTAACCACCTACCTTACAATAAACTTTACTCATCAATTTCTTCACTTGCCCCAGTTAATTTGTCTCAGAATGCCACTACTAATCCACCTATTACTAATAATACCACTCCTCCTCCAATTCATTTCCACTTATGTTTATCTCAATGGCTTGTTTCAGTTGGAGTATTACCGGTTTTTTGCTCTTTTTTCGCAAATTGGTGAGATGTGCCAGTTTTTTCCTCATAAAGGAACCGAGCCATGGCTTCCGGAGTAAATTTACCATCTTTTTTTAGATAAACGGTCTCATCTAATACTTTTTCAACCTTACCATCCATTTCTTTACAATTATTCATTTCCGTTTCGGTTTGATTTCTAAAATTATCATCATTCTCTACCTTAAAACTAAAAATAACTTTGATTACTTTTTCTGCTTTTTCGCTAGTTAAGAAGTTATTAACT